TCAGGCTCTGGGTTCTCCTCTCAGGCTCTGGATTCTCCTATCAGGCTCTGGATTCTCCTATCAGGCTCTGGATTCTCCCATCAGGCTCTGGATTCTCCCGTCAGGCTCTGGGTTCTCCCGTCAGGCTCTGGATTCTCCTATCAGGCTCCGGATTCTCCCGTCAGGCTCTGGTGATTTAGATGTTGGATTTCCTTTCCTTTATCAAGTCCCTGTATCTATCTCCTGTGACATTTTCTATTTTTGTCTTTTGTTTTGTTTCCTCTGAAAGATTGCTCAATGTTTTTATCTGTCTTTGAAAAAATTTTAATATTAAGCAATGTCTTCAACTTGTAAGAGCTATTTTTATTTCTGATTATTCCTTTTTCATTGCATCCTCTTTTTTTTTTAACTTCCTGAAGTCTCCCTGTGCAGAAGACAGTTTATTCTTTACATTTCTTTTTTATTGAATTTACTGGAGTGACATTGGTTTGCAAAACCACACAGGTTTCAAGTGCACAACTCAGTAAAACATCACCGCACAGTGCATCGTGTGCCCGTGGCCCCAGGCAAAGGCTCTTAGTTTTTTGCGTTTTTTTTTTGTTTGTTTGTTTTTTTGTTAATCCTCACCTGAGGATATTTTTCCATTGATTTTTAAAGAGAGTGGAAGGGAGGGGGAGAGACTAAGAGAGAGAAACATTGATGTGAGAGAGAGAGAAGAGATATGGCTGCCTCTCACTCAAACCCAGACCAGGGCCAGGGATTGAGCCTTCAACCGAAGTACATGCTGGAATCAAACCCGGGACCCTTCAGTCGGTGGGCCAGCACTGTCACTGAGTCAGACAGGCCAGGGCAAGTCTCTTGTTTTTATGGCTGGGCCATGTTTGTTGTGAGAATTCTGTTTAGAGGTGGCTGTCTGTCGTCTTTTTCCTTTTAGTTTTTCCACATTCTCCCAACTTTCTCTGGGGGTAATTTTTATTTGCCTTTTCATTGTTCGGTTTATCCTTAATTTCTCTTTAATGTCATCTGCTTTACATATACAGGGTGGGGCGAAAGTAGGTGGCGTGTAGTTGTGAGGATGTGACAGTTTATATTCTTGCATTGTCATTAATTAATTATTACAGTGTTTATTTGTATTCGTCTTCTGTAAACCTGCCTTGCCCACCCCAGTATGTTTTGTGATCCTCGGTGGTCTGTACCAGTATAAAAGTGAGGCGACATTAGGTCTAACAAGGAGTTTTCCGTACGTTGGAGGATGTGTCGGCTGGCAGGCTTCATTCCACGAGAGTGGACGGGAACGTGTACCCTGAGGACTGCCTCAGCGTCCGATGTGGGCAGCTTCCCTCTTTGGCGCCCGTGACTTTGTTAGCTGCTCTGGGTCCTCGACTGTTCTTCGCGTCTGTAGGGAGAATGCCGCTGTGATGTGGGGAGTGTGAGCACATCAGAGTGGACTTCTGTGAACAGACCTTCAAATCCCTTCAGTTCAGCCCCAGACGTCACTGCCTCCTCCTTCGTGCACCCCGAGAGGGTTCACATGGCACCCACCTCCACCATCGCTTCTTATGGGGTCTCCCTGTACCTCCCACAACACACAGAAGGCGCTTACAGGACCTACTATCTGCTTGGCACTCTTCCAAGTGCATTTTAGATATTTTCTCATTTAATCTTCACGACAGACTTATGGGGAAAATACAGCTATCAGCCCACTTCACAGATGAGGAAACTGAGACCCACAGAGGTTGAGATCACACAGTAGGTGGCAAAGCTGAGGTTCAGACCGCATCTGTTTGTGTTTTTGTTTATTTATTTTTTATTTTTTATCTGTGTTGTAAGGTGCACACTGTCCTCCCTGTAGTGTGTCGGTGAGACCCTCCATCCCTCACCACCGGATGCCCCCTCCACTCAGAACCCT